TTTAACGACCATCAATATTTGAAATTTTGAATTATTTTTTGTATGTTTATTAACGTGCCGACATTTGCAAATATTGACGTCCATACACGATATAATCAGAAAATAATAGCGATAACTATTGTAAATTTAAAGCCAATGTCAAGAAACATTATATCACGGAAAATATTATTCCTAATTTATTAAGATTCTTGGACAGTTGAAATTATATAAAAAGCGCTCACCTTATACTCCTAAATTAATTTTTACAAATATATACATAGAAAAAATTAGATAAGCTTCTGTGTGTCAGTCAAGCTGTCGACACCTTAAATAAACAGCTACATCCGTCATAAAATTACATTTCGACGATATTTTTATCACAAAATAAATAATTTTTTTTCAAATCATTAATTACATCTTAAACCAGCTAATATTCATCAAATAAAGTTTTTAAAAAGTATATTTTTTTTTTCGAGGATTTTTTTTTAAAGTGAATTACATCGTTATGACGGATGGCTAAAAAAGGCGCTAAAATTTGCGATTTCAGTAATTTCGAAATGAAAAACGCCTTCCAGTCAATTTAAATTAGTTTTAAAATAGAATATGTATTTTGTTTATTGAAAAATATCAAATTTAATCTATTGGCTTGAAATTAAAACTAAAATGAAATCTTCCAGTGAAGGTCCTTAACACACATTATATATATATATATATATATATATATATATATATATATATATATATATATAAAGAGAGAAAGAAAGAAAGTATGAGGATCAAATCTTGAGTAGTTTGATAACCTTTCACACCTCAAATTGTTGCAAATATTTCTAAGTGCATGGAAATTTCAGAATATAAGTAATATAAATATAAGACTTTCCTGAAAATGGTATTTTTATAAGTTTCTTATTACTGATTAAAATTTGAAAAACCACTTAATATATTATGATAGGGTTTATATAAATTAAATGTTTACTTTAAATTCGATGATAGGACGTTATACGGGCGCACCTCTAGAAGTCTTGAAGATCAGTGTTTGGTAGCTGACATCACTTCCGATCTAACATAAACTCACTAAAGGTAAAAAACTGGCTGGTTACTTTCAATGCCTCTAAAACCATACTGGTTACATTCCATCCCCGCTGAACAGACCCCCAAACTACCAACAGTTAGGATGAACGAATGTCACATCGAGAAGGTTCCGTGTCTTGAGAGGATATTTGGCCTCAAACTCACACCCGACCTCAAGTGGAATTCTTATATACGATCCATTGTTAGATATGCAGTTAATATGATGGACTTCCTGTAACTCTCCAGTAAATACCTGACTCCTCGTGCTGTCTTCTACCTTTATAAGAGTCCGATCGGACCGAAAATTGAGTACTCTTTACATATTTGAACAGGAGTTGCCTTGATCTCACTTTCCAATCTTGATAGATATCAAATGTGTCTCCAAGTCCTTACTGGAGAGGAATTATTTTCCACCCTCCAACCTCTCTCTCCTTTACACAGGCGGAATGTGGTGAGTTTTCACTGCCCTATCGCTACTACCATGGAAAGTACTCGTACGAACAGCATCGCTTTGTTCTATCAGGTCTGAGCATCAAAGCTAGGACCCGCCAGTCCACGTACATAGTAACAAACCACCCGAATTCCCTCCGTATTCCGTCGGCGAGAAGTAAGTTCCACTCAAACAGCTTTTTTTTTTCCCGCGAACCACTGCTCTATCGAACAGACTCACAAAGGAATGTTTCCCCGATCACTAGAATCTTAATCTGTTCAAGTCTACAGTCAAAATTGGTTGGATGCACCCACAGGTAAAAGGTGTTGGAGGTAGTGCGTGTCCAATAGGGTGAATAGGCAAAACAAATCCACATTTCTCTCTGCGTCTCCATCTCCAATACGTCACTCCCCGTCAGAAGCGAAAAGCGAAAATATTTATTTGTAATAAATTACAAAATGTGGCACAAGGCCAAAAAGAGGGAAGGGGAAAAGGACGGTCTTGTTCTGTCTTAACGCTAAACTCAGCTAGTCACAAACACTGACCCAAACATACAACACTATTTCTTATACCAAAACAACACATTCTTACTTACCTTTCTTATTACATTCACCATAATACCTCATTGTCTCCATGAAATTACTAACTCCCGTGAATGCTTTTTTGCACCTGATCCAGCTATCGCTCAGCCAATGAGCGCCCAGAACCAGCCCCTAAAAATGGCTACAAGTGACAATTACATTGGCACGAAGTTCGCCGATTCGCAGGCTTCACACTCCAAAACATACACGCGACTCTGCCCCTTTAGGATCACCGAGCTAATTCACCGCTAAAAAAAACCCTTATCCATATAAGTTACTCCTTAACCTAACGGTCTACCTCGAATGACCCACGGGCCTTGTACAAGGTGAACCTAAGTGTAAAAAATAATCTGAGTAGGAAGTTTTTTTGTTTGTTTTATTTTTAACTTATATTTTGTAAGTATAGACACTTTCTGTGTGATATATTTAATAATCATTTGTTTCTGAATCTACGGGGCTAGACTGTTCTCGTTCTGCTAACATTGTCGAGGGATATCTCGTCTAGTTCTTATTTTTAGTATTTCTCAGTTATTTCTCGCCTTGTAGGCTTCTCAAGATCGAAATATATCTTGTTATGTTCATATTCTTAGTACTTTTCTGATGGTGTTTCTCATGTTTTTACCGAATCGGAGTTCAAGGATTGAACTCACAATTACTATGTCACCAAAACAAATTTAAAGTAGACGTTTAATACATTGTGCGATGGATAAATTGTCGTCTAAATGACGCAAAAAAAAAAAAATAAAAATAACACGGACATCAGATTTTAACAGATATATTTACCAAGATTTCACAAAAATATCTTGAAATAATAAAGAGTAAATTTATTCAATGTAACCACGATTGGCTTCAGCCACGGCTTGCAGACGACGTCAGAATATCCTGCAACTCTTCTGGATGGTCTCCTTGTTTAAGTTGTTGAGTACTGCCATAATCCTTGCCTTTAGTTCATCTTTGTGTTACAAGGACTTTTTTTCTCACGCTCAACTCACAAATAATAATCAAGGGGAGTTCAGTCTATGGAGTTAGGTAGTCAGATATACGGGGTGATGGAGTTGGAGAAATTGTCTGACAGCCATGGCCGTGTTCTCCATCTTGTGTGGCATATTGAAGAATCCTGTTACCAGAAATAGTGTCTTCCAACAGCTATCATCTTGACCCAGGGCAGCACTACCTCAAGGTACTTGATGTAGGCCCGTGTTGAGTCTGAGGCTCTCAGCAACAAATTTGGGATTTACTTTTTTATCAGAACGGGCAGAGTGCGTTTTCAGAACTGGCGTACCTTAACAATCACCATTAGACTCATCCAACTATTTCCTAATCCATTGCACTATCCCCAGCTTCCGGTGCGAATGCCAAACAGTACAGCATGCCGCTGAATTTATGGTGGAGTGAATAGCGTCATGGTGCACATTTTCTCACAGGCGATGCCCAACTGATCCTACTATACTGTACAGTCGATAAAATCAAAAACGAACAACACGCATGCGCGAAATTAAAAATTTAAGATGGCGACAATTTATCCATCAGACCCTGTACATATACAGGGATCCCTCGATTAGTTCTGTTAATGTGTACATTAAGATACGGACTAATCGAAAACACATTGATCGTAGATAACAATTTATAAGAAATAATGTAATTTGTACCTCAAATTTTAGTTTCATTCACAATTTCTAATTTGCGTACTTTTTAATTAAAATATAGGTACATATAAGAAGATACAATAAAAATGCTATGAATTAATGTTTATTAATCTGATTTTTTTATGAAAAACTTATTTAGAGTCTTTTGCCGCATTTGGAAAAATTAAAAGATTTTTTATAGAACGAAATGTAAATCTTGACAAAAAATTTAGCGATAACTTTAAAAATACTATGAGGATTTCAATACACATGCTGCCCAAACAATCTAATCCTTATGAATTAACTTACTGTCAGTTATCTTACACATTTTGATCTAAACTACATGACAATGAAATTCTTCAAGTTTTTCCTTTTTTACTATTAGGATGTCATTTTGAATTTCTTAAAAAAAAAGGAAAATGTCTAACTCGGAAACGAGTCGAGGTTTAGAATCTTTATTCTGTATCTATGGAAATGATTCTCACTGCCCTGGTATGTAGATTTGGAGCGTGAACCTTTCTGTTTGAAGTCCGTTGCTCTGTCTTTATACTTTAAGTTGAACGCCAGTAGAATACAATAACATGAAATGAAAACGTTATAAAAGCCGGAATTAAAAACTGAAAAATAAAATAAAACTCGAGTATAATTACTTTATTTAATGAAATGATAATCTTTTTTTTTGTTTATTTCTTATTGATCTTTGCGTTTATTTGGTGGATAATGCTTTCTTTCTGTGGCCCTGTTAAATAATGACTTGTTTCGCTATGATATTTACGCTAAACATTACATTCCCTCGCGTTATAAATGACGCGCACTGGCTCGGCTGAAGACGGTTGGTGACGGAGGGGCCAAACCACACGAGTATTATCGAATTTGGTCAATGAAAGATGAAAGACATTTAACGAAATCAACCGTGTCGTTTCTGAGCGGGGTGCTATCATCATTTTAGCTAATGAATGTCAATTAACACCAGTATGGTCTAAAGTAATAATATGCAAAAAGAAGCTGGTTAAAGAAAAAAGAAGGTGAAGATATAACGATGTTGACAACAAAATAATTAAACAGTGTAAATAAAAGATTGAAGTAAGAAAAGGAATGATGAACTTAATAATTAGAAAAAAAAGAAAGATTTGAGAAAGAAAATGAATTGAGGTTTTAATTGAGAAGGAAAGTCCTTGCAAGAAGTTAAAAAGGAAAGAGGTAATAATTCGTTAGGGTTAACAAAGAATAGGGTACAAAAGAAAAACAAACGAAAAAAACATGGCGGTTATAGTGGTATGAAAACAGGGAAACTGTTATACAGAAACTCGAATATTATGTTGGAAAAGAGAAAACCGAAGAAAAGATGCAAAGAAATGAAAATAAAATGCCAAATGGGGCGAAGTGGCTTTGGCCGTCAAGTGAAAAAAGAGACGTCTGGAAAATGAGATTAAATTCGAGGGAAATGGCGGGGAAAAAAGCAGAGAAGAAATGACGGAAAAGAAAGAACACGTAGTCAATCTTGAAAGATGGGCATACGTTCCATTCTTTTCGTCTACTTTTATGCAACAAGGAATACAAAGGGAATATTATATTTTACGCTTCAGTTAGGAAAACATCTTGTGCCCGAGAGAGCGATTGTTTAAATTTTAAAACCATACGCCATTTTTCCCCCCATTTTTTTCCATAATTAATATCTTCTACTTCGTTTAATCTTCGACAATTTTATTTTATTTTTATATTACACGGCGCCTGGGTAGTTAAGGATTGTTCCATTCTCCGGTATGCGACTTCTGACATATTTTCGTTCATTTAAAAGAAGCAAACATGAGACGAGCGATAATTTTTATCGACTTTTTCCCTATCTTTTTGCATGAAGAAAAGAAAAGGCCTTTGTTTAAGGCATTATATACTTCAGAAGAATTCCGAAATAGACCATTGTCCAACGCCATGTTTGAAAGAATATTCATATTTATATTCTGTATTGACAATTAATTGTTCCAATCTCGTTTGCAATGGGTTCTATGAGAAACAAGAAACTTAATTTTGACTTCCACAGTGACGTACAGAATCGGAAAGGTTGCTTACCGGAAACATATAAACATATACGTACACGCTAGACTCTTTCATCTGTGACATTATTTTTTATTTTGCATATAATTTATATATATATATAACGAGAGAGATTGTAACCAAATCGTATATATATATATATATATATATATATATATATATATATATATATATATATATATATATATATATGCGGATATACCCGAAGAGAGAAAGAAATATAGTAATTTTGAAAGAAATAATGAATTTTTATTGATTAATCCGGTAGATTTTAACACTTAATTTGTATTTTTTATTTTCGATACCCATATTTATGTCGGTGTTCTGCTTATTTATTAACGGAGACCGTTATTTATTGCTGCGGAGAGCATATTTTTTTTTTTATAGGATTTCTTGAATATTTAGGCCAATAGCCGAAAATAAATAAATATACTGTTTATATATATATATATATATATATATATATATATATATATATATATATATATATATATATATATATATATATAATTTTATGTAGGCAGAAATATTTAAATAAATGTTCTGTTTAGAATAAACAATATTAACTACATTTAACGGCCTGAATCAGCGAGAAATTTCATAGAAATATATAGCCTCCAAAAGAAATGGAACGGGTATCCTACACAGAATCGTCATATAGCCTGGCGTGCTATACCATTTAGGTACAAAGGAAGCGTCTGGTTAATAAATTACTGTTTTGAAATGGTATAGCACATCAGACTATATGACGGTTCAATGTAGGATACAGGTTCGATCCTGTCGGAGGATATATTTTCTATGAAATTTCTCGGACGTTCAGGCCGGTAAATGTTGTTAATACTGTTTATTATAAACAGAGCATTTACTTAAATATTTATGTCTATATAAATAACGTATAAACAAAATTATATTACAATAATTGTCAGACTTAATCCATAATATATGATGTCATTTGTTTATATTAAGATACGCTTCGCCCAGATATAAGTGTTCTTGAGAAATCATTGCAAATTTGTAGTTTGAAAATAGTAATTTGTCCTTACTAACTAGACGCTTCCTCTGTAGCAAAATATTATAGCACGTCAGGCTATAATACAGATCCGTGTAGGGTACAGGCTCGATTCTTGTAGGAGGACACATATTTTCTATGAGATTTCTCAAACATTCAGGCCAGTAAATTTTATTAATACTGTTTATTACAAACATGGCATTTACTTAAATAGTTGTAGCTATAAAAATAACGTATTACAGAAATATTAAAATAATTGTCGGTCATCGTCCATTTCATAAGAAAGGGTGTTTCATTAAGATGGATTATATATAAGAGTGTTTCATTAAGACGAATCAAAATTAGCAGCAAATAAATCATTGTTAGTGCTGAAAATTTATTTACTTCTCTATTGGATCATGTTATTTAAGTCATGGCAATTATGTGTGAAAAATATTATTGCCCAAATGACCGGCAAATCTGAAAATATATATATATATATATATACACACACACACACACACACACACACATATATATATATATATATATATATATATATATATATATATATATATATATATGTATATGTCGTATATATATATATATATATATATATATATATATATATATATATGGGGTACGACACATACAAGTAGATTGATTAATATGACTATAAAAATGGGGTAATTTCTTTCACAATGGACGATACGTCGACATTAGCTTATGTCAGCCATTTTCATATAATATATATATATATATATATATATATATATATATATATATATATATATATATATATATATATGTATATATATATATTGGTTTGAGATTGCCTTCTAGATATAATAATTCGAAAGTTCTATGTTGTAATTAACTTCTACTAAACTAGAATTTTCTCCTCTAGGGCATGGGAAATCATGGGTCTTCACATCATTCTATCCTTTGGAGATTTTAGCAAGTTTTATCTTTTCCTCTCGTGATACCTGTGCTGTCAAATATTTTCACAAGCCTCTTAAGTTATTCATGTGCTGTTTCAATTCGTCTGTCTTGCCTTCATTATGCCCTGTGAGCGTCAAATTTTCCAAGCTAATTTTTCTTATTAGAAATTTCAACTGTCTCTTTCAATTTCTAACGATAAGTGACATTTTTGCTTCCATTTCTCCTATAACTTCGCCGTTGCTCTCATGTTCTGTTCATGGTATTCCAACTATCCTTCTGTAGAATCACATTGACTTGCTTCAAGTCTCCTCTTTCTTCTATGATGAGATTGCCCAGGATTCACGGGCAGAGACGAGTGTTGATATTACGCAAAAATACAGGAATAATAACATTGTTTCAAATGACTGCTGAAGCTAATTAGTGCATTCAGAGCAATTCGTTTAGAAAGCAGGTTATCCAATATTTAAAATCTGTCAGCCCTGAGAATGCAATCAGCCATCAACGTAGATTAATTATAAAAGAGTTAAAATCTTTAGGAAAGGTTATGTAGTTATGCGTTAATTTCGTCATTATTATTATTATTATTATTATTATTATCATCCTTGTCAGTGAATGTTTGATTAAACCATTCATGGAGAGAATTCTGGCCTGAAGTGAATTAAAATAAAATTAAATTAAAAATATTAAATTAGTTTTTAAAAAAAGGACGCAACTTTGATGGGTGTTTCTTATAAATCCAGTGGCGCCAAAACTTCCGCCTATAAAAAGATTCCCTTTCTCTACAGTGCGCCGAGAGCATAGGGTTCGAGTCTCTGACTGATATCAAATCGGTCGATTTTCGATGCTCGCTTGAAGCAATCGGAAGTCTAGTCACACTGGTGACCTGTGATACAGCGAAACAATCTGTCTGCGGATTATATATATATATATATATATACACACACACACACACACACACACATTAAGAAATGGACAAAGTCCGACAATTTATTAAAGACATTTTTATGTTTAACATTCTTTTTATAGATACAAGTATTTCAGTAAATGCTCTGTTTATAATAAAAAGTATTAAATAACATTTACCGGCCAGAATGTCCGAGAAATTTTCATAGAAAATATTCGTCCTTTGACAGGATTCGAACCTGCATCCTATACGGAACCGTCATTTAGTTTGACGTGCGTAACCTCTCGGCCACAAAGGATGGTTCGATTGGCAAGGTCGAATTCATTTTATTATAAACAGAGCATTTACTAAAATACTTGTATCTATAAAAAGAATGTTAAACATAAAAATGTCTTTAATATATATATATATATATTGATAATATTAGTCGTTAACACACACACACACACACACATATATATATATATATATATATATATATATATATATATATATATATATATATATAACTTACCAAGAGGATAGAAACCAGGTAGAACTCAATGTCCAAGACAGAGTATCGTAATTACGATTACAATGTAATCAATTATAACCATGGAATATTAGTGTTTAAGCCTTTTTATTATATATATATTATAAATTGATTTATTTAAAATATGTTTTTTTCTCTAGAGTAAGAGAGAGAGAGTATGTGCGAAGACTTGTAAGAGAGAGAGAATTTGCGAAGACTCGCGATGGTTACGTTTTCAAAGCCCCAAATCTTCCTTATGTTTCCAAGAAATTTAATCCATGGTATAACTATAAACTGCAACCAGCAGCCAGGCCTTTGATCAAGAGATTAGAGGTGCTGAGGAGCGTGTGAACCAGCTCCTTAATTTCTGTTGTTCCTAAATTCACACTGAGCTGGTGTGTTAGAAATTGATATGGGCAAATAGCGAACCCCTAAGCAAAAAACAAAACGCAATGAAAGAATAAAAATACATATTTATTGTAAAATTACCAACATTAGATTTTTCTGACCATCAATATATTTTATCTGTAGTTGAAAGCATACAAAGGTGTTCAAATTATTTAGATTTCGGCATTAAATAACCCGGGATATACTTGAAACGAGTCGGTTTTTAACGTGGGAACCCAAGTGTTTCCACCCAGGCTGTTGGTCTAACCTGGTAAAAGCTTGTCTAACCTGGTCTTAGCTGGTCATAGCTCGGCTAAGCTGGTCAGAGGTTGTCTTAGCTAGTCATAGCCGATCATACTACTGCTACGTAACAGATGTCACGCAATGGTGTTGGGAACGCAAAGGAAGAAAGAAGGCCCCCCGGAACGGAACAGATACTACATCTGCAGCATTCATCCATCGGAGAAAAATCCTATTCTTCATTTCTGTCAATCCTCTCGGAAGAAAAACCCCTTCCGGCATTAAATAACCCATAGGCGCTGATATCCCGCCAAACAAAATCGAAGAAAAATCGATGTCTAACGAACTTCAACTCTCTCTCTTCCTTATTCTGGATAGATAGTCCTTCATTCTTGCTTTCTTCTACAACACGAATTAAGAAATCAGACATCGGTTCGGTTTACACTCGAGTTAAAAAGGAGGAAATTAGTCAGACCTACACACAAGACTTCGGGTATCACTTATTTATTCATT